TTTATTTGTGTTTATATACCAAATTGCGCTCACAACATCCCAAAAACTGACCGCCATTACTTTTGCCGGTGACTGTAACTCCAGGATTCAATCCCTGTGTTACTGAAATAGGAAGAAATCCCGCTTGAAATATCTAACTATAAAAATTTAAAATAGTTAGTCACTAAGAAATATGATATTGTAAGCATTAACTATAAAAAAATCATGGTAAGGGCATTGACAAAAATGAGTTTCTGGAAAGGGTCTGTTATAACGAATCTATCTAAGGGGATTACAACTGTAATGAGTCCTAGTAGGCGTTGCAATTCCCTCTTCCAAACATTGGCCGCAGGAGTCCATATAATGGCCAGGTCACGTACGGACATAGGAAACTCATTTAAGTCTAATATACTGGAAAGAGTCTATTACAACGAATCTATCTAAGGGGATTACAACTGTAATGAGTCCTAGTAGGCGTTGCAATTCCCTCTTCCAAACATCGGCTGCAGGAGTCCAAATATAATGTAAATAAATGGCCCGGTCACATACAGACGTAGGTATATTTTGTGATGCCATCAGAGAGTGGAGAAGAAAATAAAATTTCTTTCCTGTTTTTGTTCAGGTCGTGTTGTTATTCGGTTGAAACAATTGCGGATGCAAAAAAGTGTCGGGGACAACTAATAGCGCGAGTTTTAACTACTATCGCGACAACTCTTGTTGCACTGATGTGACATCGTTGCACTTTTGGCCAATAAACGAATAGTGTTGCAAATCTTTTTTTTTTGCTGTTACACACTTATCGCTCTTTTAGACTAGCTCCCATTTACATGTTTCCTAATAAAGGGTCATGTTCTAAATCGAGAAAGCAGGATCAAAACAATCCAAATTAGGAAAAGACAAAGTAGATGCGGTATATTTTATTATTGAGAGATTTATTACAAGTAAAACCCGTTATAAGAAACCTTCGATATAAGACATATTAATATTAATATGGCCCATAAGAAAGATATGATTCTCGTTATAAGAAAATTTCGATATAAGAGAGTATTTGTCCCGACCCTTATAACGGGTTTTACTTGTATTGAGAAAAAGGATTGGCCTTCTTAGGCCAAAATTGAATGATCGAGAGACCGACTTATCGAGTTTCCATGTGCATATTTTACGATATCTTTTGCTAACTCTTTCAAATTCTTCCATACTCAAAGTGCATTAAAGTTCAATAACTGGATATCGTTTTCCTGAAGTTCATTATTGTCGTTTACTATAGATCTAATCAGTTACTTTAATATTTGCTGAGATCATACGGCAGAGTTTTATGGTTTTTTGTTTCATGACATTGATTGCAAGTTTTTCTTAAAGTTCCATGCTAAATCGAAAATGAGAAACTTCTGCTTTATAATCTTGCTCGGCTTAGTTTATCCGCAAAAAAATTATAATTCTTAACGCACAGCTTGCTATGATAGTAATGCTCAAGTTATAATGTTTCGGCTATTTAGTCAATTATAGTCACTAGAATAACAATAAATATTTCTTTGTAACATATTAGTCATTACTTTTACGGATGTGGATATTAGCGTAACCTTAGAATAAAAGGAGGCCTTAAATTGCTTTGAAAGCCCTTTACGGTACGGTGAACATGCTGTTTAGCAAAATCAACAGAGTATGTGTTCAGCATTCCATTGTCTGCCTGCCGCGCGTGAGAGATTTGGTTTGCGTTGCTTTGCGTAATCACGCGTAATCCTTAACCCTAAGTACATAATAAACGTTATAATACCCATACTATTATTATCTTAATCAATTTGGATTTAAAAATGCGACCAAAAATTTAGTTATGGTTGCACCTAAGTCACAGCTATGCCACACAAGCAAAGCTTATCTATATTAGTATGCTCTTAGCCAATCGACCATTTTTAGCTCAATATTTGAATGTTCACTTTGTCTGGTTTTGTTGCATGCCCCATATTAATATATTGTCAAACCTGCAAGCACGAAATTGCTAAATTCTAGTTGGTATCCATATTCCAAGTATTCGGGCGGTGTTGCATTGCAATGCAAAGCAAAGATCAGTGAAAATCATAGATTTCGCGTTTTACATTGCATATATTGTCACCAACCTTCTCATTTTAAATTATCTGTACGACAATAGAAACCTTGTAGGGTTTGCTAGCTGCTAGATTTAAACAGCATATTCGTATAGATCTACAATTAACCTGACAGGCTCCCGAATTCCATCCCGACAATTGCATATATCTGAATACCAGGGAAGTGCAATTGCGTCATGAACTTTGATGATGCATATATTAATGGACTGATTCTCTGTTTATTGGATGTCTTTAAATATGTAATACGTTTTCTTGACAGAAATTTTCAAGCCAAAAACACACACACATGTAATTAAATAAGCACCTACGTGGGATTACATGCATGGCACCCCATTGTATTATTGGCCGTTGATTATTCGTATTTAGAAGCAAGAAATCGAGGACGCGGGTTATTAATTGCTCTTAAAGCTCAGCCCATAATAATAATAATAACTACCACAGCGGGAATCTGAATTTCATTCGGCGATCGTCCAATCAAATCAACGCCTGCTATGTTAGTTATTATTATCATGTTGTTTTTCGCACCGCTTCATACCCATGAACAATTATGTGGACTTCATTAAAGAATTACTTTAAAAAGCACAGACGTAGCTTAACTATTACTGCTTTCGCTGTCAGTGGGACATATCTCCTAGGGATATGGGCAAAATGGAAGTTCTTGGAATGGCAAGAACGTTCTGGAGCTGAACGAACAGCAAGAGAAAAGTATGTTCTGCGAAAATTATGGCTATAATATACAATTTAAAACTAACTTTCCATGAATTGTCCGAAAATCAAGCATGAAGCGTCGCTTCCAAAAACGCCAGTCCGATTGCGCGTATACCATTACAAGTTGTCTTCATATCGTTGCCGATAACATCCTAAATGAAATCGACGTAGATGCCATCATAAACGAACTACAAAAAGCCAGGAATAGGAAGCAATCACCGAAAATCTTTTCTCCAACGTCTTCTGTCGTTATGGTAGATCGGGCAACGAACCCGGCTGATGATGATCCTGCGGAGAATGCTTCGAAAGTTGGCAGTGAGGATGAGAAGAACAATACTGAATCATCCGCGGAAAAAGACGAGAGTACGCCAGAATCATCTTCGAATGACAGTACTCCAGAATCACCGACTAATGGATCAGGAGAAAGCGAGGTTATAATGGATAAGAAAACGAAGAGGGAACTGTGGGAAGAAGTCAAGATCAAGAGTATGTGTTGAGTATGTCTGTGACTTTACTGTCGTTTTGTTTTCTTCTCTTGTGACTGAACCTATTTATCTTCTATCCTAGGTTTCATGAGAACAATTTCTGCTGTATATATATTTGCCTTTCTCTCTCTCCTGACGCATCTCCAACTAAATTTGCTTGGCAGATTCAATTATCTATATTCTGTAATCTCGCTTACTGAGCGCGATCGCGAGCAAACAATCCAAATTCAGCACCCAACCGGGAGTACGATAAACGCTTTGACAGAAGCAAAATATTTAACTTTTTCGTGGTGGTTGTTGAACATTAGTTGGCGACCTCTTGTAGAGAGTGTGAACTTTGCGGTTCAATCCGTACTCGCAGAGTATGCATTAAGCGAAAGTTTTGTGAGTTGTATGTAGTCTTTAGGTTTTAAGCAATTAAGGGACTTATGCTATTTACTTGTGACAGAGTGCCAGTAAATAGGAAGGTGAAGTACGAGGATATTGTATGGATGATTTCCCAAGTGAGGTCACAAGTTGAAGGTCCTCCGGAATTACGAAAAACGTAGGTTGGTTGGGCGTTGATAATGATATATATATATGAGATGAACTCTCACTCCGATATTTGGATTGTAGATTCCGTGGTATAATGTTACCAGATAAGTTGTCCGATGAGTTAGAAGTATTGAGAAAAGGAAGTAACGGCACTATTGAACCGGTTATAGATAAAGAGCTGCGCGACCTCTTAAACGAGACTAAGGATGTAATTGATAGGTACGAGTCGGATTTGCATTACTTTTGTAAACTCATATTCTTTATTGACCCGAGTCTTCCATTTCTTCATTTGAATTTGCAGCAACGATTTCTGGATGGTACAAAGTGCCGTCCTAAATAAGCTCTTTGAAGTAATGCAGTCTGACATACATAAGGTTTTTTATCCTCCTGATGCTGACAACAATGACCTAGAAGAGAAGGAAATGTTGCTTGCGAAATTACTTCCAAGTATTACTCGGGAGACACATCAAGTAGTTAATGGTGTTCCTAACAGATTTCTTGAGGTCAGTAAAAGCATTTGCTCAATTTGTGTTAGTATATGCTGATTTGTATTCCCTCTGAGAACTGATATTGTTTTTATGTATCCCATAGGCAATTTCTGAAATTACAGAGTTAGAGGCGTTGTCTGCTATAATTTATACTTCATTTGAAGATGAATAGCTTTCCTACGATTTATAGACTTTTGTGATATTTTGGTAGTTCAAAACGCAACCGCGCAAAAAAATTAATGTTATGGATATGTAGGGAGTTAAAACAAGCATCCCATCTTTTACTTTCACTTTCTCAAATGAAATTAAAAAAAAAAAAAATCGGACAAGAAACAACGTCAGTACCTTGGACTCTTAATAAATTCGTGGCCAATAAACCACCATTAATAAGTAACCAAAGATATAATGTACACTTGCCGCTGAAGTAAAAGAAAAAACGAACTCTCGAGCGGGGAATTGAACCCCGGTCTCCCGCGTGACAGGCGGGGATACTAACCACTATACTACTCGAGATGAGCTGTTCAAGAGTGCTAAAGCCTGATATATAATCATTAAAGAAGCTACAGAGACTTGATTTGCTTCACTAAACCATGGTGATGAATCGATCGTTTCAGTAATGGTACCTTACGATACCTAATATGAAACACCAAGCGTGTTTGGATGTTCCGTTGCCTTTACAACAGGGTGAAACCTCTAACATACTGTTCAGTAATGAGGATTTTGCCTTATGCGTATTAATTTCCGTGAACTATAAATGCCGTATACTAAAATTGTTTGAGGTTTTTTTTTCATATTGGATGAGATAAGCAGCCAATTAATAGGATATTTGAAAATTATTTCTATTCCAGACTCACTTTATTGTTGATAACTGCGTTATTACTTTGTATCCAGTAGTTACATCACGATTTCCCTCTCGATTATTCTCTGATCGAGTCCCAGCCGCTTAAGGCAATTAAAGTATCTTTCTAAATCTAACTTCTTCAGATACTTGAGTGTTTTCTGTCTCTTATGAACCATTATTCTCAGCTGTCGATAATTATGTTTATCCTTGCGATGAGTTTGGACATGTTCATAAAGGTTGAGGATTCTCACAGTGCATAATGCAGCTATGACAAAATTATTAGAAATATACCTTCGAGCAATGCAGGACCCCTTGAGCCAGTTCATCTCCTGTACTCACCTTGAACCTCAGGACTTCCAGTATCTCCTTCGGTTCTCGAAAATTCCTTAATTGCCATTTGCTTATTACATAACATAATTCCCTTGGCACTAGCATTGTGTAGTCCAATCACGTTCTTTAATGCTTTCACTTTCTCCTCTTCTCTCTCTTTTTGCTGATCGACACCAATTGTTGGATCTATTCTTGAATAAGCAACTGCTTCAGGTGTAGTCTCAAACAAAACCTTCTCGGCTTCTTGATCAAGAAAATGAGCGTTCATCCATGGAAGCGTCGGTGTGGACATCGACTCGACGTTTGATGCGTCCATGGCCGATTGATAGACAGCCTCAGGACGAAGTAATGACTGTGTGAAAGGAGTAGAAATACCGGCTATGACATTCGGTAATGAAGCTGCTTCTTCTTCTCGTCGGGCAGCTTTTGCTGCTTGATGTTTCTTCTTTTTTATTATCGGGCGACGCTTAAAGAGTGCTGGTGTTGCGTGAAACGCGCGGGCACCTATAAAGAAAAGAGTAATATGGTTATAAGACAACGAAGCAAAAAAATTTGCAATATACGAAATTCACGCATACCAATTACGCGTGACCCAGCGTCAAGGGGCAATATCCTTCTACACAGCGACAACATAATCTTATGATGGAGTTCCAATGATTCAATCAAAATTTCGTTCTTTCAATGTCCGGATAGTCAATCGTTGTCTGATCCACGATCGTCGGATGATATCGTAGTCACATGACAAACTAGTTATATTTTTCTCTCACTTTATAACACTGTACTATATTGAACAATGCGATGATTTCCTGGTAGCCTTGCGACCACAATAGGCTGCGAAGAAGCATCCGAACAGGCTGGCAAGGCGCTTGCTTTTTAGCGCATGTTATGTTTTTCCCTTTTCTAGTAGCATTGTAATAATGAACAGGTCTGAGAGCAGTAGCTCTTCGATGGACCTGCGTTCAGCGATTGGGAGTGATGAGTTGCGACTCGCGGTGGTTCTGTCCTTGCAGCTTGTACAATAAAAATTGATGGACCACTTTTCTGCGAACTTACTAATCAATTGATAGAAAGAGAAAATATCGGAAGAAATCTGGAAGAATGCTATGTCAGCACAAAAGAGAAAATTTGCAACGTTAGCTGAAGTGTTGGTACAGTGGGTATTCAAAAGTCTCCGACCACTACTTGCTTCTCTAATTCGGGTTGCAGCTCCTTAAATTTATCGTCAATCGCGCGTATCTCTATAGCCAAACATTTAAACCTAATGAAATTTTAACTATGGTTTATGCTTGCCTTACGTTTCTGCAAAATTTCATAATTAATATGTAAACTTTGAGTTTGTTTATACGTGAGTTTAACGAACCCGAAAATATGACAAATTAAGTTTCGCAACCCAAACGGTTAAAAATGAACGTAAAAAAAGTTATCTAACTGTCGAGAAATAAAATATAAAAATTTTTATCTGTTATCAAAAATTTAGTGATCCATGCGTACCCAAACATAGTTGTGTTTGAGATATTCTCCCTGAAGAAGTTCAAATTCTTTCTGCATATAAACTCTTGAAAATTACTGTTACCTCTTAGTATTCCTAATTTTGACGAATTTGCCCCTTAATTTTGTATTTTTAAGGTTGTTATTATTATGCTATCTCACTTTATTCTTCATACATACCTGTTTTGCTTTAAAACCTCAGAATAAGGTAAATCTCTTTTATTAATAGCCAATACATATTTAATAAATTAATTTTACAGAAGTGTTTATTTAAATTTTTAGTTTTTTGTAAAATTTACCCCCCCTATTACTAAATGCTTTTTTATTTTTTATTTTTTATTTTTTATTTTTTATTTTTTTTTATTTAAAAATCTCAACAAACTGATGAGACCATATAACCGCGATAAGTAACAAGAAGAGTAAATGCGGGTGAACCTAAACAGCTTGCGGCAATCGGAATCGCCTCTATTCTCCAATAGAAATATGGGAGTCGGACTTCGTCTGTTCTATATTTTGTGTCGAATTATTTATAGAACTCTGCTTCTCGCTATCAATATCACTACTTTTTATTGATTCTGAACTTGGCTTTTTAATCAAAAAAGGACGAAGACTAAACTCGGGAGTGCCATTGTTCAGCAAGTCAACTGTTAGGCTATCGTGTATATTAGAAACGCTTCCCTGAGACTCAGATTCTAATTTATGCCGTTTTCATCACCAACTACAGACTCGCAGAGCAAGGGTGAGTCAGAGACTCCAGGCTTTACCTGTTCTTTCTGAGAAGCGGAAGCTTCAAGGCTCTGCCTCTATAAGGTAGGAATACTGGGTTTTTTACATTTGTGGAGTAAAGCCGCTTCCGCGGCCTCTAATGTTAGTTTGTGAGTGGCTTCCAGCCTTAAGCGCGTCGGTTCGATTTTCAACTTATTTAAATCGAAATTTTTCTCTGATACGTCTTTTTGAGCTAGAGCTAATTTGTCTTCTAACATTTTAATTTTAGATTGAAGCGATTTATCTCACTTGATTTTATAGCAATCTTTTTGATTAGCCAATTTGTCTTTAAATAAGAGATAAAATTTCGGAATTTTTTTTTGACAAGTCTTCTTGAGCTGAAACAAATTTTTCTTCCAACATTTTGAAGTTATTTTATCTCCCTTGACTTCATAGTAATCTGGTCCTTGCATTGCGCCAGAGAAATTTCTTTATTGGAACTTTTGATTTGTAATCGCTTAGCCTCATTAGCAACCTCCAAGGCATAGGTGTGTATTTTCTGAATCTCAGTGCTATTCTGTGTTAAACTGCGTTTCAACTGCTTTTTCTCCCGGACCTTGCTTTAGAATATTATCCCGTAATTCCGCGCTGTATTCACGTAACTTAGATGTCGCTTTAAAGTTACGACAAATTTCTTCTCCGAGGTCTTGCTTCCTATCAACCATAAGTATAAATGTAATGAATAAAAATGAGTAAAATTATTTTGAATGGTTTTTAACGATATAAAACGGTCCAATTTGTTTGTTAATATTAACGTTTTTTACGGTTATAAAATATTATCCAAAATTGTGTACCACAACACTAGTAAAGTAATAAATAAAATTATTTTCGAACAATTTTTAACGACACAAAACGGTTTATTTTATTAGGTAACATTTTTTACCGTTCTAGATATTAACCAAAAATTGGAGCATGACTACGCCATTTCTTAAAACTTATTATCGTTGAGGTGCCACGAAATTGTCTCCTGAGCAAATCGAAGAAATTAGAACACTAAAAAATAAAGCACCTATATATGCAATAGTAAATAAATACCATATGCGCAGAGACTGTATTCTTGACATATGGAATAATTCCGAACGAATTCAACAAGATGTAAATTGCTTGCCTGATCTTTCGGCGAAGGATGTGAAGCATCTCCGACTTCAAAATCTATGGAAATGAGACAAAGTTCCAAAGCTATGCTTCCATACCAAATTAATTTTGTTTTTTTTTGCTATCTGTAATAAAATTTATTGGTTTCGATTAATTTGGCGTTGGGTTCAAGGACTTCATACAATGATTTTTTCAAACTACTCATAACTTGTGCGTTTTTTTTTAACGTTTCGAGATCAGCCGTACCGCACTCTGCAATTCGGATAAAATAGCATAATGAGATACTGACAAATCTGTATGCTTGACCTTGTGCATGTTTATCGGAATAAAACATTCTTTACCATTACACATGAGCTTTAATTCTCGTTTTCGACGCAAGTAAATCACAATCATATTTATCAAGTAATGTATCAACATTTTGGTTTACGATATTTAACAACTGCAAAATTAGAATGTATAGTAATAGTACACTCTGGAGCAAAAGTTACTAGTACATTGCGGACAATTCCTTCGTACTAAGGTCGCGTTTTTCTTTTGTATCAATTACAAGTTTTAATCGTTTAGCTACATCTTCAGTCATATTGGGAAATTTGCACCAGGGTCTACTGTGGCTGCTGGAATTACTAATTTTTTGATTTTGCACTTTGTGGTAACAACATCTGTAGCTGGTTCTTTCTTTTGGACGAGATCCATTTCCATAGGATCGTCCAATGTCTCTTCTTCGCCATCTGACTCGGAAACTGGTTCTCGATAATTTATAAAGTCCGGTTTTGAAGTAGATGGGGGGATACTAGATGGATTATCGATCTTGAATTTGAGTTTCTCTATCCAATCTATAGGTGCGATACCATCAAGCATATTTAGTATGATCTTTTGAATAGACTGTTCATTATGAATTAATTTATTTTGTGACTTACTAGAATTAGAGGTAGAACTATTTTTTTTTTTTGCTTTAGAAACGTGTATATTAATACTATCATCGGATTTAGTTGAGGATTCTTCCGAAACAGATCCAGAGAATCATTATCAGAAGAGTTAATATCTGAACCTGACTCAGAGCTTGAATCTATAGTAACCTTATTGATATTAGCCCTCTTCTTGGATTTATTCTTGGACTTCTCTTCCGAGTACACTTGCGGGAATTATGCCCAGTTCTATTACAATTTGAGCAACGATGCTGAGATCTCTTTTTTGACAGCTTTGTTTGGCTATGTAATTTTAATTGCCTTGCGTAAGATTGGCTAGTATCGTCAGAATCAACTTCATCCTTTTTTATTACCGATTTTGGAGACGCAATTAGCTAAATTAGGATATGATTGGTTCTTTATAGAAATTACTATTGTTTAACTATTTTAACTCCGTTTCGAATTTTGAGTGTCGCTAAGCGACCCTTATCCCATTGTCGAATTCTCATGTTGTTAATATTAATATTGTTCAGGTTATTAGAACGATAATTCCCACTCCATGGAATAATAATAAACGATTCCCTTTGAAATCGAAACTTTACTTTCTTTCATTGTTGAAATATTAATTATTTGACCGGACACACTAATAAACGGTCACTCAAGCTGCAAACGGCATTTAAGCTGTATAAGTTGTCCGTTGATCTATTACTCTTAATTGAGGAACGAGAGTCATTAATTATTTATTGAAACGAAAATTGTTTAATTAGTTTTTAGTTTGAGACAAGTGACGGAACCGACTAGTCGAAATACCAAATCGAAGTAACCTTGTTTAGAATTATTCCCCTTTCTTATTTACTTAATATGTCAGGCATAATTAAAAATACCCTTGTCTTTCTTTGTATTTGCATTTTAATAATCTCAGTGAGATTTGGATTGACTATAAACTTGTAATAACAGTCTCAAATCTACTATAAGATGTTTGCGTTTTTAGACTTGTTAATTAAAATTTAGAAGATTGCAAGTCGAAAAATATAATTTTTGCCTGATATAATCTAATCTGTTAATGTAAAAAAGTTTTTACATTTGCTTCTTGTCAACTTACTCAAAATTTTATTCATAGTATGGTCCGGTGCAAAAAGATAGATACCTCGAAATTGATCGCTATCAAATCGCCTAGTTAAAGCTGTGTGCGACT